TGGACCGATGTCAAGTTTGAGGAGTCGTCCACGAAGTTCCAGCCACCATCGATGGATCCACCACTCTTCTTACGAAAGGTACCCCGATAAGGAGCGATCTCAGGATCGCTGAAGTTGAGGCCGGTGTCCATAACGGCTACGTTGACGGTCTGCCTCACATAGGGCGCAGATAATCTCCACACTTCTTCCATGTTCATCCGCTTGAATGCCCTTTGCCTGGAAGCATTGGGGTCATTCACGCCGAGGTCTTCGCTGGTCCCTTCTTTAGTGGCGAAGTTAGGAGAGCATTCACAGTCCAGACCGGAGAGTTTGGAGGCCGCCTCCTTCAAGTAGGCACAAAGATCGTCGGAGCTCACTGTGTCCTCGGAAGTAGCAACCACCTGCAAGCCCGAGGACTTCAAAGTCTTGATAGTTGCCGTCTTCAGGAAGGCGGCCATTCCAGGCTTGAGCGCGACCTTGGCATCTTCGAGACGCTTTGGGACATCCCGAACGTCGACGAAAGCATCGGCGGAGGTGACCGATACGATAGTCTTGCTGTCATAGACGTTTGTGGAGGTCGATGCGGCTATGAGCGGAACAAAGGAGAGGAGCTTCATCGCTTCGAATACAGTAACAAGAAACTGTTATGGTGACCCCGTTGAGTTATGGTGGCTCCACCTACGAACTTCGCGTCACCGGGTGACGCGTCCAGTCTTGGGTGACGGTCACCCAAGACTGGCCTAAGGTGGGCGCGGCTCGCCAGGCGTCACGTGACGTGACTCACGTCTCCGGATGAGGCCACGGGGGCGTCTAGGTTTCGAATCGCTACTTTTTTCGAGTTATATCTCCTTGGCAGTAACTTGTTACAACCTCCCTATATGAGATACCTTTCTTCTATTATCTTCTGCTTAAGCCTTATCGTAAGCGTTCGCGCTTCCCACCCTGTGGGCACCTACGCTTGCAGAGCATCCGCTACATCTGGCGGTACTCTTGTATTCGCTAATGACCAGCAGACTGTTCACATAAGCGTAATTGACGGTGAGTGCGGCGTTTCTGCTGACGTCCCTTATACTGTGACGCCTATTCACGGTTCTGACGAGTTTTGGGTGGTACCTGATTACAGCTCGACCAAC